TCTGTTATCTATAATTTAAAGGGTAATAAAATACCTCAAAGATAATGAAGGGCTAAAGTCTCATAACCCATAAAAGGATGTTATAAATAATTTTCTGTTGGTGTCATCTAATCATTCATTTGATTATTCCAAACGTATTTACAGAGTTATATTAGACAACAGTATGTGGTATGAACAATATTTAATTTGCAAAAGAGATAATCTTTAAACATCAATTATATAAGCTACTGTTAACTTTTAATTGTGGAGCCAAGAAGAAATGTGTTTAATTGAAAACAAAACAGTACCAAAGCATAATATATTGTGCATTAATACATACACAAATACATAAAACTATAGGCATATGCATATCAATGTATGTTACCTCAGAAGAACACTGTTTTTTGTTTCCAGTGTTTGTAACTAAGTGTATGTAAAGAACCACAGCTTGACTTTCCTCCTTCCTCAGAAACCAGATGTCAGGAATTATTTTAAAATGTTTGCTAAGTAATTCTGCAATTCACTTGTGAAAACAAATGGCTTTAAAGAAGGGATTTATAATCATTTTCATTTGAAAATATACATGAAAAGGACAACTACTTAAGCAATTATCTTCTGCTATTTATTCCTAAAGTGAAAATTAGGAATTTTTACAACTTCCTATTGACTTTAGAAATTTCACACATTTTAATGAAATTTTTCTTACGTAAACATATTCAAAACTCACATGCTTTTGGTTGAGCAATTTTAATTGAGTAAAGTCAAATTAATAGGGAAGCAACTTTTCATTGTAGAAAGTCATCTTGAACTTATTTTTAATAATGCAAATGCAAACACTTTTTCTGAACTTAAAAGGAAAAGCAAAGAAATATATCTCTACATGTACTACTATTATTCATGTTAATATAACTACAGATTTTATTTTGTGTATACACAACCCACACTGATACACGTCCTTACATATGGTGAAAATAAAAAGGTCTGTTGCATTTCAAAGAAAATTTTTGTTTTTCAGAGAAAAGCAACATCTCTTTTAGCTCATAATTCCACTTAAGTTAAGCCATTATTCAGTGTTTTTTCCCTTTTCAAAAAATAAACTAAAGCACATGCAATTGTGTGATTAAACCGTCTTCAGTTCTTCCAATTAATCAATGCTTTAGCAGTTTCTTTTTTTTAATTTTGTTTTTATATTCCGCATACAATTGCAACCCCCTTATTTTAACCCCTCACCCTCCTTTCCCCACCCCCCTATAGTGTGTCTCTGGTTCATAATTGTTTGTTGATTTTAATTTTTTCTTTCTTATAGTTATTCTTTTTTCTGGTCCCTTATTTAGGTTTTCTAGATTCCTGCTATGAGTGAGACCATCCGGTATTTTTCTTTTTCTTTCTGGCTTATTTCGCTGAGCATGATCCCTTCCAGCTCCATCCATGTTGCTGCAAATTGCATGTGTTTATCTTTTTTGAATGCTGAGTAATATTCCATGGTGTATATGTACCACATCTTCTTGATCCAGTCATCTATTTTTGGGCATTTGGGTTGTTTCCAAAGCTTAGCTATAGTAAACAGTGCTGCTATAAACATAGGGGTTCAGGTGCTCTTTGTAATTAATGTTTCTGTGTCCTTTGGGTAAATACCTAGGAGTGGAATTGCTGGATCATATGGAAACTCTATCTTTAGTAGGTTGAAGAATCTCCACACAGCTTTGTGCTTTCCATACTGGTAAGACCAGTTTGCACTCCCACCAGCAATGCAGGAGAGTTCGTTTTTCTCCATATCCTTGCCAACATTTGTTGTTTCTAGTTTTTTTTAATATGTGCCATTCTCACTGGTGTGAGATGGTATCTCATTGTAGTTTTGATTTGCATTTCCCTAATTGCAAGTGATGTTGAACATTTTTTCATATGCCTGTTGGCCATTCATATTTCCTCTTTGGAGAAGTTTCTTTTTAGCTCTTCTGCCCATTTTTTGACTGGATTATTTTCTTTGTTTTTGTTGAGTCTCGTCAGCTCTTTGTAGATTTTTGTGATCAGTCCTTTATCATTAGTGTTGTGTGCAAAAACTTTCTCCCAGTTGGTGGGGTTTCTCTTTGTTTTGGTTATTGTCTCTTCTGCTGTGCAGAAGCTCTTTAATTTGATGTAGCCCCAGCTGTTAATCTTTGCCTTCACTATCACTGCTTTGGGTGATATGTCTGTAAAGATGTCTTTGAGGTGCATGTCATGTAGTGTTTCGCCTATCTTTCCTTCTATATATTTTATGGTTTCAGGATAAGATTTAGCAGTTTCTTTTAAGTAACTTCTATCAAACAGACCTTAAAAATGTTCAAGCTCTTGTTTGACCAGGGTCTTCTTCAGTTCACTTGACAAATATCTTCATTCATCAATCATAGATTTAACTGTCTTACATTTATCAATGACTCACAAGTCCAACTGATCATACCCTTCCTTTCTTCTGAGCTATAGAACATCTAATATTATAGAACTATGTTTCATGTGCCCTCATTGAGGCATCAATCAAGATATCCCACAAGTGCCTCAAACTTATTTAACAACTGTTTTATCATTTCCTGTCTATTTGCTCACTGTCTCTTGATTCGGTTTTTGCCAATGGCAATCTATGTACATCTAATGTAAAAAAATTCCAGTATTTTTTTCCATTGTTTCCTATGTGTATTCATCATGAAGTTTACTTTCCACATTTTCTATTTTCTAAACATTTAAGTTCAAGGTCACAATATGCTGTTGTCACAGTAATGTCACCTGGAGCTTATATTTCTTTTACTTGGGAAAATTTACTAAATCTACATATTCATATATTTCAAAACTCAGTTCTGAAGATGAGAGAAGTAGAGAATAGAGGGTCAAAGAGATATTGTCTGTGTTTAAAGATTTATTTATTTATGCATACAAGAGCTGGGGTACAGGTCAGAGATGTGAGGGTAAGAAGATTCACCAGAGAAAGAGTGGGTAACAGGACAGGCAGATTGACTTAAGTACACTGCTGAAGGGAGCAGCAGGTGAGACAGGAGAGGTCTTCTGTGCCATGTGGGTTGCTCCCTGGCCAGCCAGGGATCAAACTCGCGCTGCAGAGGTTGTGGATAGCTTCATAGGTTGCATCTTAACACCTTGCACCACCAGGGAGGCCCTGTCTGTGTTTAAAAGTCATTCTATTCTTTCTAGTTCTGTGGCTTTGAGCAAGCTATTCAATCTTTATGTGCCTCAGTTCATCATCTGTAAAGTGGTGATAATTGTATTGTACTTCTTTTTGAATTGACTGAATGGTTAAATGACTCCATGTAAGTCAAGTCGCTGACATATTAAGCCTGCATTACATGTAATATAGTATTAACAACAGAACTACCTATTTATTACTATGAGAAAGACATGGGACATTTTACTAAATGCATAAATTCTATAAAGTTTTACATATTTTTATAACTGTCTACTGTGCATTCCAATACAATATGAATACCTTAAATGCAAAACTTTTATTACATTTTTTTCCTTTGAATTGCCAGCAACCACCCCAATACCTTGACAAGAATTTAAAATTTGATGAATGAAAACATTAATAAACTACGCAAATCACAATATTTCATTAGATCTCAGACTATAACAACCCAGACTACATCTTCTTCCCTCAGATGCCCAATATTGGTTCAAAGCTTTTCAGCATTTAAATCCTAATTGCTATGTTAATGACATTCTGATATCCTTATTGCTAAGGTCCTGGGTCAGCTCTCGTAAACTCCACCTATTCCCCAGCAGTGAATGAATTTTAAAGGGACACAGATCCAAGGTCAAATACAGAAATCTCAGGCAGGGCTATTGGAACAGTTTCCCCATTCTTGCATCACACATTTCTCTCTCTTACTCATAGACCCACACACCCACAAACACATATTTGAAGGCCCCTTTTGTGCTGCTTTCACAGACACCAAAATTGCTACCTATCCCTCTGGATTTGATTACTTCTTTCTTTTGTCAGTGATTTCTTTGCTATTATGATAGCATATTCTTCTTATTCTTTACTGAGAGCAGAATAATGCCAAATTGACTTAATCTCAGCACAAAGTTTACATTTTATTGTAAAAAAGAAGTCTTGGCAGGATTACTAAACACTAAAATTGCGGAACAACAGGAGTCTGTTCACTGTCTGAAAAATAAGCTGGTCTCTTCTCTCTCCAAAAGAGATTGTTGTCCATCTTATCTTAAAAGAGAATTGTCTTCATATATTTCCTTTCAACCCTATTCTCAGAGATATATTTTCAAATCTTTAGAAATCTTCCTTTAAAATCATAGATTTTTATCAAAGCTAATTTTCAAAATTAACCACATTATAAAGTACATTTTATTTCTAAACAAAAAGTCTTGAAAAAAATTTACCATATATAATGTGCCTACTTTTCATTTACAGATTGTTACACAATGCATTTTTGTAATATATTTTATATTACATTTGCTATTAGTATGTAATAGTACTTTACACCTCAAATGTGTATCACCACACCACCCCCACAATCAAAGATCCCATATACTCCATGGGTTCTAAATGATTTTGGAGCCAAATATACATGTGTTTAATTGCAAAGTCCAGCACAGTCTAACCATTTGCTTTGGAAAAAGTCATTTCCTCTCTCTGGATCTCATTTTCAAAATCTGTGAAACTATCAATGTATAATGTGTGGTAAGGATTAAATCTGAAATAATGTATGCAAATGTGTCAGCCAGTTGGAACTCTCTTATTTTCCTATGTCCCTCATAGAATCAATGATGTTTGCATAGAAAAAAATAGTAGATATATTTTATTAGCTATAATACAGACAAAAATTGTCTATCCCACCATGAAATTGGCCCAATTAATTTTCCATGAACAAATTGTAAAATACACAAAACAGAAACATTAAAACTATGTACAATGTATATTATCTGTAAGGAAACAGTATCTATGCATTAATAAAATAAACTAAATGATTCCTTTTCGATAATAATGCTTTGGAAATAACTTAGTTCTTTTGTTACAGGAGATAACTGCAAGGCCATTGAATACAGCAAGATGAAAAGTATGCTTTTAGATTTACAAAATCAAAAATATATTACACAAGAAAATGAAAATCCTAACGGTGATGACTTATCTCGGAAGAAGTTGTTGGTGGATCAAATGTTTAAATATTTTGATGCTGACAATAATGGACTTATAGATATTAATGAACTAACTCAGGTATGACTAATGCTTAAATTTACAGACTTATTTAAATGTAGCATATACAAAATATTTTTGTATGAATTTTTCTGTATTAATATATAGATATTTAATTCATGTCTTTAAGATTGTGGGCATACAACTTTTCTAAAAGTAAAATTTGACTGTTCTATCAGTAGTTTTAATTTCAATTGACTTTGATAAAATAATTTCAAGTATCATTTACATGTCAAAAATACACATACTTTTGAAAGCCTTTTATATAACTTGAATAGCAAAGAAATTACCAATTTTGTATCATCATTTATATGCTCTCTCCAGACATATTCTGGACCCTATTAATGCTTAATTAACTATCAGTCAATAAAAGTATATTTATCCAGTATTCAAGGGCATCATTGATTAACAGTTGGCACTATCACATAATATTAAAAAATGATTTAATTTGGTATTGAATTACTGACATATTTCTGTACTTTTCAATAGCCGTATTATTAAATTGCATGTCTTTAAAAAGGTGTCATCCAAATGGTAGTAGTAAACTTTGTTGTTATTAAAGAGAATTTTATAATAAACAAAAGATATTTATGAGGTCACTTTAAAGAAAAAATGGTTTTTGAGTATTACTAAGACAGACTAGTTTAAAGAAACATACCCACATTTAAGAATCTAAATTAGTTATGAGTGGTAGTGCAAAGGTGAAATAAGGCAATAGAAGTTTTCCAAAAAGTTACGTAAGTTTTAAGGAGTAATGGAAAAAAGTCAATCTAGGGTGACTAAGGAAATGGTAATAGCACTAAGAATTTTGCTGACTTCTTGATAATCTTTATTGTGTATCTTGAGGTGGATTTTGCTGCTGTGTAGAACATTTAATATAGTTTTCTAAAAAAATGAAATAGGCTATTTCCATAACATCATACCACTCATATTTTCTGGTTAATTTCATGGCTTATTAAAAAAATCTGACATTGTAGAATGTTAATTTGATTATGCAAGTATTTCTGAGGTTTGAAATAGTGTAACTTATTTTAAAGACTTCATACCAAAATGAACCTGTGGGCAAATTAGCTCTAGTTCTTGTCATTTCATTTAATTAAAAGTGTGTATCATTTTCATTATCTTCTATAGTCACCCTACATTTATTGAGTACTTACTAAGTTCCAGACACTGAGATTTAAGGAATTGAACTCTGGAAGGTTTAGAGTAAATTAGAATGTCTTTTAATTATATCAATTTGCTGTATCATTAATGATTTATTTTTCAAGAATGAAACAGTGTAATTTGACATTTTACTTTAAGAAAGAACAAGTAGTTCATCAAAAATGAATTTTGTGTTGTCATTTTATTTATGAGTAGCTAACATTAGGTTATGTTTTTAATTTTTTTACTATCATTTATTATTTTCAATAATATTTTTTCACTTCTTTAGCATACCTGCATGCCTCTGCCTGTAGTCATTGGTTAGCTACAAAACCATGATCTGCCCAAATTTAGTTATTATAATCAAAGCCACATTCAAATCCAAAAAGAGCAATTATAATCATTAGAAAATAGCAGTGTAGCCTTAACTTATACATATTTCAAGTTTCTGCTAAGTTCAAGTTTGATTAGTTGCTTAAGGTTGCCAATGAAAAAATACAAGCTGGATGACTTGTAAACAACCTTTCTCATTTCTGGATACTCAACTGTGAAATGAAGGTGTTGTAAGGTCCATGCCTCCCTGAAACCTCCAGGGAAGAATCTTTCCTTTCCTCTTGCAGCTTAAAGTACCTCCAGGCATTCTTTGTCATTCTCCATCTGCATGGACCCAACTGGAGGCATCACTCCATCTTGATCTCTAGCTCCATGGTCAGATAGTGTTCTTCCTGTGTGTCTATCTTCACCTTATCTTCTTAAAGGGACAGCAGTCATATTGTACTAAAAGTCTATCCTATTCCAGCATGACCTAATCTTGTTATTTAACTAAATCTTCAATAAGTAAAAAGTTCATATTCTGAGGTATTGGCAGTTAGGACTTTAAAATATCATTTGGGAGGGCACAACTCAACTCATAATAAAGTTCATATCCTCTAAAGTTTAGTTTTGTTTACTCAGTTATGTTTGATTTGGATTCATTTTCTCTCTGAGAAGTCCTCTTTCCAATGCATCTGAAAAATACCATGTGACAGAAGAAAGAATTATCTTCAGAATCCATTTGTATCTTGGCTATCCATAAGGTACATGCAAATAAGGATCTAGGAAGGTAATGTTTAGTGACTTTCTTTAACACGCATCCAATATCATATAAGTTACTACTTCAGTGGTATCTAGTGGCAATGTTAGTATCTCATCCATCAGCAGTCAACTATGAAAAAAATCAGATTATGAAAGTCACCCTGAAATACATGTAATAACTGTAATTATAGTACAAATAATGATCTTTGAGTTTTATGCTTCATAGATTATAGGTACTTTTTAAGTACTTCTGTGTCAAGTATTATAACCAATAATGCATACCATTTTATTCATAAACTTGAAAAATATAATAAGTTAATTTTAAATTGAAAATAATTTAACTTAGACTAAAAAAGAGAAGAATCTTAATGGTGTCTGTAAATAATTTATGAGCTATTATTAGCAGAAATATAATATCTAAGTCTAAAATAATGACAGTGACAAGTAAAAATTAAATAATATAATTTGACTTTGAGGTTTTATAAATGCAGCATTAAAGTTGTCTGCAGACATTCTATTCATACTCCACATTAGGAATATATATTTTGTAGTTTTTCTTGCAGAATTTTAAGTAAATTAGAAGGTGGAAGCCTGTCTAATTGAATGAAAATAATAATAATAATAACAATAATAATATTATAATAAGCAGTACATAAAGGGGGGTAGGAACTTTAATACCACCATTAACACCTTATCATGCAAGAAATACTTGCTAAAATGAACTGACTAGTTACAGCAATAGATCTCATTTGATCCATCACTTTATCACTCTAGGTTTACATGAACATATATAACTGCACATTTATCTTTCCCTTTGTGGCTGATTTTTGTATGTTGGAAATAGCCAACAATGAAAGGCAAATTTGTAGCAAAGTGAAATTTTGAACTTTCAAAAGTAGACTATGGTAGAGGATTCTGGGTGCTTTTGGGGTTGTTGTGATGTGGTACACACATATGAAAAGGTGTGTACCTCTAAGTCATATTGAGTTTTGTAAAACAACCCTACTTCAATATATAATAACACAGTAAAAATAGTATTTTTTTTTTTTAATTTTCTAGAGGCATGTCTTATTTATTTATCTATTTGTTTGTTTTGTTTTTGTTTGGTTCATACATGCACTGGGTACAGTCAGAAGCCGGGAGGGTGAGAGAATTCACCAGAGCCAGAGCAGGGAGCAGAACAGGCAGAAGGACCGAAGTACACTGCTGAGGGGAGCAGCGGGCGGCAGGAGAGGTCTGCGCGCCATGTGGGACCCTCCTCTGGTGGCCGGGGAGCAGCCGGGGATTGAACCGGCGCCGCAGAGGCCGCGGGCAGCTTCGCAACCCAGCGCTCAACCGCTGCGCCACCTGGGAGGCCCAAAAAAAAATAGTATTTTTTAAGTCAATAAAATGATGTTAGACTGCAAGGATATTTGTCATTTCCCGTTGGTATAGAAGTGTTAAATTAATTAACCATAGTTTAATAACTATGAAGAGAAATTAGCAAATATTTGATGTGATGTATATTTCAAAATCAAGAGAATGTTTTATGAGGCTAAAGAGTGAGTGAACCTTAATTGATAAGTCCTATGACATTTTTCAAAAGTCATCTTTGTTAGCATATCATAATAGTTAAGAACTTTAATTACAGAACCTGGGTCTGACTCACCTCTCTAGTTCTTATTACCCATGTACCACTTGGCAAATTACTTAAACTTTCTGTGTGACAATTTCCCTTTTATGTATTGGGAATGACAGTTGTGCCTAGTACACACATGTAATGTCATAGTTATTATTTATAATAGGTAAGCTTCTTAGACAGATGACTAGTACATAGAAAACACAGTGTAATTGTTAGCCATCCATATATGTTCAAATCTAACTTTGCTGTGGATGCCCTGGATGATGATGGAAATAAAAAAGGGCACATGTGCTTTAGGTAATGGATAAATAATTGATCAGCGTTTCCATCGCTTTCAGCCACTCTTCTAGGTGGTTTGTTCACCTGGATGTGGAAGTCACTGGGAATATTGAAAAGCTGACCAAAATGCTGTGCATCAGGAGCTTTATCTTTTCAAGAATTATGGGGCCAGAATCATGTAGCTGAATATTCTGAGATTCAGAGTAGGTTCTATCTGTCTGTCTGTCTGTCTTTCTATCACCTATCTATGTATTATCTGCTTCTGTTTATTTTTCTAGTGAAGATTGACTTGGGAAAAAGAACTAATCCAGAAGTATCAATAGGGATGATTGAGTTTTTATCTTCTTCTTGTTCTGAGATGGAATGGATCTGAGAGATAATTTAACCTCCAGTTGTTTTCTTAATAGTGGCCAGAATTTTCTCAAGTCAATGTGATGAAGAACAAGATGTGATTGGTTTGAGTTGGACAGGAATATAAATTGAGTCAGATTGGACAATAGGGAGATTTGGGCTTCACAGGGTCATAGAAGTTCATCAGGGTATGATGCACAAAGGAGTTTGTCCAAATTGCTCCTTAGAGGAGAATGAACAATGGCTTGTGTATGGTAGTCATATTTATTTGATCCTGAGGGAACACAAAGCTGACTTCTCTTGGCATTGTGGCAGCTCTGAGTTTGTTAGCAGTGAACTTGTGTTCTTGGAGAGAATTGATGCTAACATCTGGATAATCTGCTCCTTAGAACACTCTACATTTGATAAAAATAATCAACCATAACATTTAAATAAGTAGAGTCGTTCCCTAGTGATTCTGAGTTTAAATAATCAGCTGTATTGAATATATTGATTTAGCTTTTTCTTCACTAAGATCTTGTCATCTTCATATGCTGCTGTGCATTAGGAATGC